CCGCCAGAGGCTCTTGTTGGAACAGCATGTTCAAGCTATCGACCACCTCAGCACAGGAACATATCGTTCAGGTTTCGGTGTGGGTTGGATGTATGCAGACAAATTTTATGTGGGTCCAAGCGACAGGCATCATAAAGGCCTGAATGGTCGAAAATCCCGTCGACAACGACTGTCAGGGATGATATGTGAAATTTTAATTATATAGGTTTGGGGGCCTAGGGTGGCTTTTGCTTGAGCATGTTATGTAGGAATTTGATCACACCTCCCTCACGATGAACAGAGGAAAGTGCGTGGTCATCGAATGCTTCCTCTCGTCTAAGACCATGCCTAGACACACCTGGGTGTGTTTCTCCTCATTTGTCCACTTGACATCGTCGGCATAAAGAAAGAGTGGCAAATGTTTGCAGTCTCCCCCTTGCTCAGCAAGTGGATGTTCGGGGCCCCACTCGGCATGCTTGAACATGTGGCTCCAATATTCACGAATCGCTGTAAAGTCGGGCACAACCAACCCGTGCTTCAGCAAGTGAGGAATCAATCGATGAGGGAGGACCACAGGTAATTTCCTGAATTGCAAATGAATATTTAGTCGAACACACAACACGTGCACACTATCCCCAAACTTTAAGTTAGCCTAGGTTTACAGGGTCTCAGGGTTTAGGATCGAGGTTTCGGGGTAGGGTTTACGGGCTGATGGTACCGAAAGCTTGACAAGCACAGGCCTCGTCACCACAGTGGGGTCCAGGGCACTCTTCATCATAGGAACCTCCACCATATCCAGCGGCACCTTATTCGAGACTCCAGCTTATAAGCATAGGTGATGGTGTACTGTTGGTCAAGCAACAATCTGATCACTCGTCGGGTCTAGGGCTCAGGGGGTTTAGGTTTGGGGTTTCGGGTTTGACGTTCGAGGGTCGAGGCTTTCCATATTTTAAGTGTTGGGACCCTTGGGCATCTGAGTCGATCGCCATATCCATAGCCCCATCGAGGACTCTCATCGAATCTCGTTGCAGATTCCGAGGGTGTTTCCCAGTAGCACCTGCCAGCCGAAGCCTCTCTGCTGTCCGTGGCAAAGCACTGCCAGCAGCTTGAAGCTCCTGCGTCGACGGGACATCCTATAATTTGTAAGGGATTAGTATTACACTAGATATAAAAAATAGGGCCTCTATCATACGGAGCGAATCCTTGTGGGACTCTTCTAAGAACTGCCTGGCTCCGGCGAAGCTGAGGTCCTGGTATTGCAGCACAGCTGGAGCGTGCAATCGAGGCAGGTTTGCTTTGGATGGGCTTAGCACCGGACCCCTTTACCAGTGCATCGGAGGATGTGCCGCCCCAGTGGCCGCAAGTCGTCGTTGTCGGATTCTGCGAGAGCGGGTTTGTGCTAGGGAGAGGCATGAACGACTCGAACTTAAGATCTCTAGAGTGCATTTTCGGATCCATGTGCTTTCAGATCGCTTCCCCGGCACATTCGAGGGTCTGGCATCGAGATGCTTGAAATGTAGCCGTTATCGGCCGTGAGACCCAGGTTCCAGCCCGGGCCCCAACCACAAAACACGTGTGCACTACTCTCGACTGGCTAGGAAAAGAGCACGACGACCCAAGCTGCAAGTCTGCTTCTAGATCTAGCAGAACGGCAACGGAGATCCCGTATAAGGTGCTACCGAGCGAGCTACATCGAAATGCAGTAAGAGCCTATGCTCTCTACCCAGTGGCATGAACATCTTAGCATGAACCTCTTAAGATTCGCGACCGGCAGCACCTAAACAGCTCGCCAGTCCGCGGCACACCCGGCCAGGCTCAGCCTTGATCACTTCTTCTTGCCACGGCTCTTCGCCTTGGGCTTTGCTTTGGTCTTTGCTCCAGCCTCGGCTGCCCGTGGGATGGCTCTTGGCAGATAGGGCATAGGCTGGTTTCGGGTTTAATTTATTAGGTTGTATTTTGCGGCTTAGGCTAGGTTTAGGGTTTAGGCTCGGCTATAGCTATAAAGGGTTTAAGGGTTAGGGGATGGCGATTCTACCTAAGTTTAACGGTGCCCTAAACCGCTATAAACCCTGACCTGTGGGAACCCTTTTAATTTGGCAACTGGATATGGTATTGCATGGAGCCTGGGCTCCGGCTTCGGCAGCTTGTCCTATCTCTTGAAGTAGTGGTTGTGTGTTTCGATCAAACTTTGGATGGATTGGGCACCTAACATAATACCTGGGGGCTTCTAGCTTGGCCCCGTCTGACTTTAGGATTTTGTTTGAGTTTGGGTAACCCTAAACTCCTAAACCCTAAACCCAAACCCTCAAAAACCCTAAACCCTAAAGCCCTACTGTAAACGTGAAGAAGCCGCCACTCGCAGGTGACGTTGGTGACTCTCTCTCGACCGCCGCTGTGGAGGCACAAGAGCTTAGTTTGTTGGAGTGAAAAGAGAGGACTGCTTCGTTTTGCGATCTGTTGCCAGTGTCAGCAGATCACTGGAGCTGACACTGGTAGCGGAGCCCGAGCGCTTCATGGCCTCTGGCGTGACTGCCGACCCGTGGTCGGCCTCTGGCAGTGACCCCTGACAATCAGGCGAGGGGGCGACCGTTGATGCAGTTGTGCATGAGCCCAATAGTGAAGCAAACGCGCAGACGCAGCACGGCGATGGCGACTTGCAATGGGGAAACCTGGAGTCTAGGGAGAGTGCCTCAGCACCGATGATGAACTCCTGGAGTGGCGAGTGGGGCCAGCGCCGTGGAGACAACAGCAGTGAAGGGAGCTCGGGCGATGCGGCTACTACGGCCGATCGCAGGGCTTCAGATGGTTCGTGGGGATCCTGGTCGTCGTGGCAAACCTGGCACTCAGAATGGCATGGTGGTTGGTGGAACAGGTGGGGCGATGCTCGCTCCGACTGGCGTCGTCACCGTTGGGACGGTGGCGAAACTATGTGGCCTTCTACTGATCCCCAGACTACCCACGTGAACAATGCAGACGAATCATCGACTACAAGGACAAGCTTTGCTGAAGTGCCTACGTGGAACTCCGGGACTACACCTCCGAGGACTTCGACCTCACCTCCGACCGCGCGATCCTGGACTACCTCTACGTGGCCCGACAAAGAGACGGAGCAACCTTCTTCTGGCGGTGGCAAAGGGCCCTCAGAGAAGCTCCTGATACTTACCTTCAGTGGTGATGCTGAGAATGGTTCCGAGCTCGGCACCTCTGCTCGGAGCTATCTCCGCCAAGTGGCGGCCTGGGAGAAGATGACGAAGTTGTCCTTAGGGCAGCGTGCTTTGGTCCTTTACCAGAACTTACAGGGCTCGGCTTGGGTCAATGCCGAGTCACTCGACGTCAACAGCCTTGCTCGCAACGACGGCGTGGACTACCTCAAGGATTGGATTCGGCAGCACTATTTGGACGTCGAGGTGACCCAGGTGGGCAGGTCCTTGAGTGACCTGTTCCGCAAGCTACGCAGGAAGCCTACCCAAACGTCTCGGGACTACACGGCGGAGTTCAATCGACTTTTGGCGAGAGTGGTTGAATGCGGGTGCAAGCTGCCAGACGTGGCCAACGCCTGGCTCTACGTTGACCGGGCCAACCTCGACGAGACCACCGAGGTATCCCTACTAGCGTCCGTGGGCAATAAATCCCTCTGAATCCATGTCGGGGCTATTTGTGGTCAGGGCTTTGTACACCGATCGGGTGCTCAATGTGCATGACCATAAAAATCATAGCTTTTATGGGATTATGTATTCGCAGTATATTGTAATATATATAGTATATATATATTATAATTATAATTTATATTTACTATTATATATATATATATATTGATTATATTTATATATATTTATTTATATATTATATATATGTATATATATATAGGAGTACTACTATATATATATATATACATAACTAATAGCTTCTAGCATAGCTAGTTGCAAGGGTATTAGAGCAGTGCTGCTATGTGCTTTTGGTTTGTGGTCCAAGCTCCCAAGCTCTCTAAACCAACACTTGGATTTATCACTCATTCAAGAAACACCAGCGGGCTCAGGCCGGTAGCACAGCCACTGCTGCAGTGCAAGGGTTTAGGGTTTAGGGTTCAGGGTTTATGGGTATTCCACTACTTGTAACTACGACATCTGGATAGCAGTACTGGTGCTACTGCTATCGTGCCTTCGTATCCAGCCCACATCGATGGTATCCTGCCCCAATCAAATTAAATGTAGCTGCTGCTTAAGACTTCGGTCCTGTGTGTGTCCCGATTTCGAATGGATATGGGCATCGAGATGGTGAAGCGGCATCTCGACTTGATTGTCGCACAGTCATCACATGAATGTCTCGAGATCTTGTCTCCAGTTCCACGTTTCGATTCGATTTTCATTCAAACTTCTGAGGTATAGTATTCGTGCGGCCGCTTTGATGCAGGGACACTGCTGGATCTTGCTGCATTGAATGCAACTGGGATGAAAATAAAACCCCTGCATTGCACCATTCTGCCTTGACCCCTACTTTGCCTTAAGGTGTCTGTGTATGGACCCTGGATTGGCGATGTGGGCACGGCCTAGCAACTGCTGGGCATTTCATGGACCGTGGATTGGCATTGCGGGCTCGGCCTAGCCTCTTGCTCCTAAGAGCTGCTGCATTCGGAGTGAGTTCGGATCGTGGATTTCAATTTGTATCGACGTTGCTTGCTGCGAGGTGCAAACCCCCATGTGGCGCATTTGCAAGCAGCGGCTGGACAATATCAGTATCGTGATGGCTCTGAAGCTGCACCACCTGAAGTACTCAATGAGGATCTAGGTGCAACCACCCCCGCAGCCAGTGTGCACAGCTCTGCGTTTGTGTTTGCATGCATGCTGTTCAAGACTTCTCTGTGCGCATTAAATGTGACTCTTGTCGTGGCCGGCTGGCATTTAAGCTTAGCTTTTTCGTGCCTGGAACGACCCGTGCTGCCTTGGTTGCAGGTGGGGGTTTTGGGGTTGGTGGTAGGTCGGTAGGTCTTTCAAACGGGTTGTTCATGCAGGCTGCCAAGCGCGATGGAGGATCGACGAATGATGGAGCAATACCTCCTCGAGGAAGTCTGCAGAGCTTCATTACTTTTAGTTTTGGTGCACCATCGTTGGCAGGACTTTCTGAATGGATGGCTCACGAGGAATGACGAGATCCTGCCTGCAATCAGGAAGCACAAGGAGTCTACATGCTGTGATTTTTCATGTTGCAAGATTGAGATTCATCGACATGGTCCTGCAGGAGAAGGCGGTATTGCCTGTGCCAGCAGCTGGGGTGCAGAGTGCAGCCATGGTGGGCTGGGATCTGTCTTTCATGCTTGTTCATATTAATGTTTGAAGTCTTGTGTTGATGAGCTTGTGGTTTCCCTGCAGTGCGAAGACAACTATGACTTTCTTTGCCACTATTTCGCGACACTCGGTGCGAAGTTGCCATTGTTTTCCTGCCACAAGGCCAGCAGTGATCAGGCATCAAGTGTTCATTCCAGCTAGGAGTTCTGCTTAAGTGCACATCGAGGTGTGGGATGTGCTCACTCTTTGCTGCAGGTTGTGCTGCAGACATTGGCAAAACGCTATGCAATTTTCCCAGCCCAGACTCGCAAGCGTATTGTCAAAGTATCCTGTCGGCATTTTCGTTTTGTGCCAAAAAATATATCCACAGTCCCATGTGATGTTGATCTAAGGCTTGGGCAGCAACCGAAGCAGCTACGATGAGAGGTTGTGCTGTTCATGCTTTGTTGTTGGCACGAAGATCCAGTGGATCTAAGTCTCATGGCTGAGTTTTTGAGTTTCGCTTGCATGAAGGGCTTGGTCTGCCTATATATGATCGATACATCACACGAGGTCTACAAAGATCCGCATGCTCAAGGAGCTCATCGCCTCCGCCATCGGTGCCGTGGCGATAACCCTAAACCCTAAACTGCAGGCCCTAAACCCCAAAATCCCCAAAGCCCTAAACCCTGAACCCTAAGCCAATAAACCCCTAAATCACAAACCCTGCCCCTAAACCCTGAGTTCCGAAGTTTTGATCCCACACGTACATATAACCATCGGATATATATCTAGTGTTTCGGGTTTTGGTTTTCCGGGGTTACATGTACATGTACTAGTACGAGTACGTATGATCGACAGGTTCTTCTGACGTCGATGCGGCTATCGAAGCGGAGATCCAAGCCTGTATGCAGGATCAATCCCAGGCACACGTATATATGCTGCAGCTGTGCACGACACGTACATGTATGTGTGGGTGCCGATCCGAAAGCGCCATGCACTCTTTTGACAGGATGGGTCAGCCGACTCGCAAAGCTCTGCCTCCATTGATGGTGAAAGAATGGAGTCCCGGCTTATCTTGAGGCTTAAGGTCTTTGGGTGTGGAACAAAAATATGTCTATATATATATGTATGTATGTATGCATATAACTAGAAAGCCTCAGGATCCGAAGCCACTCGCGATCGATGCAAGAAGTTGTTATATAATTAGGCTCTTAAGCCTAGAACCTCTCCTAGCTACATTAATATCGATATCCTTAAACCCCGAACCCTAAACCTAAACCTTTAGCAAATATGTAACTAGAATTCGAAGGCCTCATGATCCGAAGCCACTCGCGATCGATGCAAGCAGTTGTTAGGCTTTTTATTGTTATCGATATCCCTAAACCCGGAACCCTAAACCTAAACCCTAATTATATGTAACTAGAAGGCCTCATGATCCGAAGCCACTCGCGATCGATGCAAGCAACTTCTCCTAGATTCGATATCCCTAAACCCGGAGCCCTAAACCAAAACCCTAATTTTAACAAATATAAATAAATATGCATATACATGCATAACTAGAAGGCCTCATGATCCGAAGCCACTTGCGATCGATGCAAGCAGTTGTCAGGCTCTTAAGCCTAGAACTTCTTCCTAGCTAAACTATATTATAAACCCGGAACCCTAAACCAAAACCCTAATTTTCGCAAAAATAAATAAATATACATATTCATATATATATATGTATATATATATACATAACTAGAAGGCCTCATGATCCGAAGCCACCCGAGATCGATGCAAGCAGTTGTTAGGCTCTTAATCCGAGAACTTTTTCCTAGCTTATATATATATATATATATTAATATCGATATCCCTAAACCCGGAACCCTAAACCTAAACCCTAATTTTAGCAAACATCAAATTTGGCTTCAACCCAATATCCTATTACCTCCAGACAGCTTATGCAAACCTGCAGGCCAGCATCCCCTTTAACACTAGCAAAGCTAAGACTTCAACCCGATACGACCTAGAATGCAAACCGGCTCCCACCTTGAAGGGCACCACCCTTAAAAAGAACCCAATATTAGAACCCTTGCCAGGATCAGGATGATCTGCTGGAGGATCCGAAGACGATGCCACCCTCCATCCTGAAAGTTTCATGGTGGCTATATGATCATGAATGCTGCATGTTCAGTCTTCGGCCTTCGGTTCTATGGCTAAATGCATGATACTTGTAGGCGGTGCCTTGCAATGTCGACAAGATGGAGACACAGTTGAGCTGGTGGGACAGCCCTACGAAGCTAGGCTGCAAAGCTATGATCGAGGAGGACCCCCACAGTCGTTGCTCAATATCCTAGACTATAATATAATAGATCAACCTATTTAACTACAGCTGGGAGGACAAGGAGAATGACAAGAGGGCCCCGGTCCAGGCAGCTCCACCGAATCTTCGATTGTCTCAAGAGATGGTGAAGACACACGAAAAGGATTTGGAGGAAGCCCAGGCTATCGAAGCTGTGTCTGAACAGCTGGAGGCCCGCCCGATCCCAAGACCCAGTCCTTCTCATCACATCCATTTTGGCATCGAAGGGCATAGTCACCTGCATGTGGCAGAAACCGGCAACTAAATGGTACGAATAGCATGAAAACCAAAACCCCAAACTAAGTGGTCCACTAGCTACAATACTTGATGTATGCTGTGTAATATGGCTTCAGCTTTCGTCTTGTCCTTGGAACCTATATCGATTGGGGTCCGGCAAAATTATTAATTAAATAGTGTCGCTAGTGTGGAACCCAGGTAGTGGCTTCTATCGGCAAATCCTGTTAATAGTGAAAGCCCGTGTTTTGCAGGTGCAGAAGGCGGCAAGATTGGCTGCAGCTGCCAACAAAGTTGCAGCAGCGGCAAAGAAGCAGGATCCGAAACACGTGGCCAAAGGGTCCAAAGTGAAGACTGGTGGTCGTGGCCGGGGACGTGGACGTGGCCGGGGGGCCGCGAACCCGAGGGACGTCGCCACATCCTCCGATGGCGCCACCGATGCTCCCGCCACGCAGGCTGCCGAGAACCCGAGCAACATCGACACCGATGCTCCCGCCACGGAGGCTGCCGAGAACCCGAGCAACATCGACACCGAGGCTGCCGAGAACCCAGGCAACATCGCAACCGAGGCTCCCGAGAACCCGAGCAACATCGCCACATCCTCCGATGCTCCCGCCCCGAAAGCCAAGGCTAAAGCTAAAGCAAAGGCAAAATCCCAAGCCCGATTCCCGGCGCCGGACGCGAATGCTCTGGGCGACTGGTCCACCAAGGTGCTTGCATGCAGTTTTCACATATACGTATGTATGATACCATCAGTTAATATTGGCATGTAGACTTATCATGCATAGAGGCTGCTGAGCTGAAGACTGCTGGCATTGCCATCCCTGCTGGCTTCGATGGCAGCCAGAAGAGCTACACCCTGTCGGCCGCGACTTACAATCCCAGAACGCCGGATGCCGGGTCTATCAGTGTGCTGTAATCTGTCGGCAAACAAAATACACTCACCTTTGCATGTGCTAGGAGCTATGTTTACCCCCACCCACATGCACAGAATCTCTAGCCCAGGTGGACTCTCAATACCCTGTATGTCAATACGGTCGTCCAGACTCATGACTTCCCGGCGAACAAGAAGGGTGGATGCAACCTAACCCGTTCCAAGTATGGAAACTCGTTTGCGAGCTGTTGGAAAGCTGCGAAATTCGCAGCTGGATGGACAGTCACTTGGATTGCAGCTTGTTGCATGTTTGCCAGGGAGTCGAGCTACACTTCAGCTTCATCTAGCTTACAGACCGAGGACACTTTGGGCCAGTGATTGCATATAGGCAACATCGCCTGATTTTGATCGAGTTGCTTGGCTTGCACCTAAGCCACCTGAGCTTAGCTTTAACACTAATTAAGCAGACACACACTCTATCTATCTATCTATCTATCTATCTATCTATCTATCTATATATATGTTTTTATATAAGAGCCACCCCTTTTCAATCTCCTAAACACTGAAGCCTAAACCCGAAAAGCCTAAACCCTAAAAGCCTAAACTCGAATCCCCAAACCCAAATGCCGAAACCCCAATCCCTAAAGCCTAAACCCTAATCCCTAAACCCGGGCCCTAAATCCTAAAGCCTAAAGCCTAAACTCTAAAGCCTAATCCCTAAAGCCTAAACCCTAATCCTAAACCCTAAAGCCTCAACCCTAAACCCTAAAGCCTAAACCCTAAGCCTAAACCCTAATCCCCAAGCCAGCCTAAAGCCTAAACCCTAATCCCTAAACCCTAAAGCCTAAACCCTAAAAACCTAAAGCCCAAACCTCCAGGTCGGGGCCTGCAAACGCCGATGTGGGCATTGCTAGATGCCTGCGAGCTCAGCTGGTCGCTTTGCAAGTTCTCCTTTTGTGAACATGTTTGGAACAACCTCCGGAACTGCTGCTCTCTCTATGCAGCAGGTGTGCCATACTATGAATATTACAGGGTCATCTATATCCCCGTCTTGTAGCTAGTAGGCCACTTACTTGCCAGGACGAAGTCTGCACACAGCCCTTAAGCACTTAGCAGCTGGTGCCATGGCTGGGGAACCTCTTTTTGTTTCTGGCAGCACTGCATCCTTCCTGGAGAGATGTGGGGTGCCGATTATTATGTCCCTTGACATATTTGACTTAATTTTGAACAATATATTATTGAACTAGTAGGACCTGCGACCTGAGGCTTCATGCTCTTGATTATATATGCCAGATCAACATGAACCGCCCAGATTCCCAACAATGCTGGAGCCGAGCCCACTGCTGGACAATAGCATACTCTGTGTATTATAATTGCAATGGAAACAACGACACTGGCTAGACTTAGACAATAACCTGCTGCACTACTGAGGAACTGCACTTCCTCGAGGTCTTCAGTGGAAGCAGCAACCTCACCCGAGCATGTCGCCACTTCGACGTTTAATTTTGATAGCCCACTACTTGGAATGTGTGTTTGCATGTACATGTGCCCACAATCCACCTCGATCTGTGGCTCAGGATCAGCTGGCATGGTATCGCGAGCCTCTCAAATTGGGGTAAGTGGCGAGGATCAGTGCATGTTTATTCTTAGGGCAGCAATCTCGATTCTGTATTGCAATTGAGGCAAAACTATGAAATCCGGATCCGGGGGGATGTCAACGACATTCTCAAAGTCGAGGGGCTGCTTACAGCTGCAAGGGATGTTCTCAGGCTGAAGAAGAATGCTCTTCTTTGGGGAGGGGTCCCATGTGCATCGTGGCTAGGCTTAATAGTAATTCAAGAAGACTCATTGGGAAGATCCTGCAATAACTCAGAAACTCGAACCTGGAATGCTCAGCCCTCAGAACCTCTTGAAATTATATCCTGAAAGCTGACCATCATCGAGGGGACATTGCCCAAAGCCTGAGCCTTGCACTCGACAGTAAAACCCAAACCTCAACTTGAAACCCAAACCCGTGGAACCCTTGCTGCTATTATTATTATTATACCCTCTCAACAGAGCAGCAATCGAAACATCGCTAAATCTCAACCACTAGTCTTTAAGCCCAGACACTACAATCCCAAACACTCCTAATTTCAGATTCCTGCTAACTTTAAACAATATTAATCTTGCCTCAAGGCTTGGGGTGCTGGGGCTTTGCATCATTCTCGTCTCTGGTATTCAGCTATGTATTAGCCGTGTTCGAATCCCATACATTAATAGTAATGTTTCAATATCCATATTGTAAATCATGTACCTCCTTCAATCGAAAAGCCGAAGAAGTGCTTGTAATAGGGCTTAAGAGAGGCTAATATGTTACAGGGATCAGGGTTTAGTATTACACCATAACACTAGTGGTTGTAAGGCCTATAGAGGTTTCGTTTTTAGGCTTCTGCCGCAGATGCAGCAGGTCTGCAGAGATGGCCGGTGCTTCACCAGCAGGGTTGTTGCTTGTGAGCTCCCACAGTTCAGGCTCATAGCAGTTGGGTCCCGTGTCCATACATCCGACATCCGACTCATACGTCGTGGCCTCGCAGTGCTGTAGGCTCGGTACATGTCGGATTCATAGATCTCACACATGACTTCCACGCGCTTTCGTCGTGGGTGCTGTCATGTTTCGTCCATGGGATAATGTCCAACATGTCAGTCGCCAGTGTGTGCAGGCAGGCCAGGTTTCGCTTCTAGATTTAAATAAACCCTGACACCCTAAACTCTAATCGCTACATATACAAACTTAGCCTAATCCCCAAAACCTAGCTCTACATGTTTATTTAAGCCCAACCCCGGAGCTAGGTGTGTCTTGCGGCTAGGCTGTTCATACTGGGCCCAGCTCTTAACCTGCTGTGAGAACCTACACCCCGATCGTATCCAACCCAGGTGGGTTTTCATATCGTCGAATGCCACCGGCCGCTATGAGTCTATTATGGGTAAAGATACTATGTCTGTGACCATTGCCAACAAGATCGTCAGCAGATTCTGCCTATTGGTATGCCTGGCCTTGGGCCGTGGTGTCCACTGGCTCGAATCTTGCCTGAAGCTAGCTGGTCATCTGCTGTATAGTTATGGGATTCGAGTGCTTCTGGACTGGTCTGAGGTGGAACAGCCAGGTGGATCCCTGCTGATGCAGTTCCCTCTGATTGACCATATGCTTCGGCTTGCAGGGCATGCTCATAAACTGCAAGGTCCCTAGCAGGAGACTTTTAGGATGTGGCCGCTGATCATGATGTGGCCTCTAACGATACGATCATATTACACACGCACCATTGCTCAACACTTTGGCCAAGGTGGATGGGAGCCTATGGACACTCACGTCCCAAACGAACACTGTTGTTTGGATCTGTGCCGCTGGCCTTAAATTACATTCCAAGTGAAGATATACAGTGACCTTTAAGGTTTAGATCGGCGATGCTGCAACCAATAGTGCGTGCCTAATCTGAAACCCTAAACCCTAAACCCTCAAACTAAGGACTTTCATCTATTCTTTGAACAAGGCCATAAAGAAGAAGGATTTCCAGAGATCAGAGTCCACAAAGCTTGTCACCAGGAAGCTGAAAGATGGCAAGCTACGTGTGACTCTCAAATGCATTATGTCTAGTCTGCGAGTTAAGTTGCTGCCCAGTCTGCCTATATATGGATCTCTGTATCTACTCTCAGGACAGGAAAGCGCCATGCACTACAAATGTCTGGTGTCTACCCAAGCGAGTTCTGTAATGAGATGAATTTGAAGCCCTGCAACATCATCGCCGTGGGATGTCATCGAATAGTTGCACTTGCAATATTGCAAGGTATGCACTAGCAGTCATGGAGTTTCTCTGCTAGCTTCGTGTGATCTCTCCCACAGTTGGTGCCATGGAAGTGCCACCGTGCAATTGCCACGAGAAAACACGGCACCATGCCCCAGTGTCTGCATGTGCAGTATGCCCATAAGGTGGGTTCCAGGGCTCTGTCACCAGCTCCGCCAGCACCCCCGTGGAATTGAAAATGTACGTGAGCTTGGGCTTCGCGACGACGGTGATGTGGGCCACAAACTCTAGTGCCACTAGTCCACTTGCAGCTCACAGTGTCTCCGAACCCTAAACCCTAAACCCCTAATTCCAAGCTCCTGAAATTCCCAAAGCCTAAACACCCAGAGCCCTAAACACCAAACCAAAATCCTCCAAAGCCCCAAATATTGATCGTCTCCGAAGCCCTAGCCCTAGGCCTAAACTCTAAATCCCAAGGCCCTTTCCCAAAAGCCAAAAACCTCCAAAGCCTTAAGCTCTCCAATTCCACAACTAGGCCCGAATACTTTAGAATCAAAGCCCGAACCCAAACGACCCAAATATATCTATATATCTATATATATATATATCTATCTCTATATATATCTATATCTGTGCTACATATATTAAAGTCGCTACATATATATATATATATACACATATATATATATTGCATTGTATACTATAGCTATATATATATATGCATAGATCTCTCTCTCTATATATATATATGATGCATATATATATAATATAATATATATATATATATTATATATATATTATATATATTATATATATATATCTAAATCTTGGCTTAAACAAACCCTAAACCCTTCAGGAGATGAGGGTGCTATGGGCACAATTGGCGGATCTGGAAGATCTTCGTCAGTTTCTTATAGCTGAGCAGCGAAGAGGACGATTCTCTCCGTGCAGGGCCCTCTAGGATGCAATATGGGAGGCTTCGACACTATATTACACGTAATTTAATAAAGAAACCCAGGAGGCTAAGTGATTGTGTATGGAGTGCACTGGAATATCACCTAAATCTGGGAATTTCTGTGGTTTTTTTGAGGAGAAGCCTCTACAGGTGATCCCACCCAGGGACCGTGACAAAGCGTGAAAAGGCGTGAATTCTCGTAGGGTCCTTTAATATAATTATATTAGGGGGAGAGCTACCAAGCGTGACAAAGCGTGAATTCGGCGTGAATTCCAGGACCCCCCCTACGTGATCACACCCATGACGTTGTAGTAGAGGTAGGGTTTTAGTCGGGATGGGTGGTAGTACAGGCAGGGTTTCCAGGGCATTATACAGGGAGGTCTTGCTACATGTGGAGTTCCAGGGTATTTAAGCTCGAGACCTCTCCAACTCTGCCTCCTTCCTGTGGTGGTGGCGACAGCGATGCCCACCTCGGAAGCGGAGCTGGCCAAGGTAGGGATGTGTATGCTTGGTTTGGCCAATAGTGTTGCTAGGCAAAGCACATAGGACTGTTCGGCAGGTGGCTCAAGATGCTTTGCAGGCAGCACAGCGCCGAAGAGAGCTGGTGTCAAGTATTGTGCAGAGCAAAAGCACAGCAGCGGCGCCAAAGGGGCAGGCTAAAGCAGCAACAGCTAAGGCAGCCCCAAAAGAGAAGGCAAACCCTGCGACCCCGGCCCGTGCTGCACCGGCAACGAAGCGTCTGCATGAGACCTTGACCCCACTTACCGCCGAAAAGAAAACACCCTCGACAAAGACCCCGGATGCCAAGAACCCAAAGCATGATGGTACAAGTCCAAAGAAAACTCTTTTCGGAGACTAAGCCGCAGTGAGATCATTACAGTATTCCTTGCCCCCTAAGTATATGTACTGTATAATAACCCTCATCCAACTGATCAGGTTCGGAGTGAAGTTGGAAGATGTGGCCCCGGCTGAAGGATCAGCTGCCCAGCTGGAGCGAGCGCCCACGAACCTGTCCATCATATCCGGGACTACTTTGGCTCTTGGGCAAACCCCGAAGACTGTCAGAAAGGCTATCTGAGGGATTCCCGATATGCATGTGAATTAGCATTCCAAGTTCTCTGGCTAGCTCGATACACACATCTGCCTCCTTGCATGTCAGGCTAGGGAGACTTCTGGCATGGATGAGGATGCAGCCAGCTATATGGACGATACCTTGAAGGACGATTTGGCCGAGGTTGATGCGATGGTGGAGGCTAGTGGAATCTGCAATTGCATAAGATACTAGTTTGGATGTCCCACCACAACCCCCACAGCCCTAAACCCTAAAGCCTCGACTCCCTTAGACCCTGCTACCCTTAAACAACAATAAGCCCTGAAACGCCTGTGCAATTACACCCGAAGTGTCCACACCCCCGAGGGTGTAAATCTCGGTGTAGAAATATATATATATATATGTATATATATATATAAAAAGCATATATGTATGTATAAGCGTTTTAAAAATTGTATGTTTATATATATATATCATATAATATATATATATATAAATGCCCTAGCTAGCTAGCTATACATATGCATGTACGTAGGCGATCCTTATGTAAGCCAGATCAATAAAGCTTAACTGTATCTTTAATTTGGCTATTTTGTGTGTATATTTAGATCTACCTGTCTATCTATATATATATATTCATATGTATACCTATATATTTATATACTCTATATATATATATGTATATCTGTATATATCTGTATACCTATGTAATTTCCTATATATTTTTATATATCTATATATCTACCTATCTATTTACATGTTTCTCGATCTCTATATCTATATATATATATGTGTATATTGTATATCTATGGATTATCTATATATGTATATATCTAACTATATTATCTTTTTCTGTTCAGGATTTGACTCTTCAGATGGATGAGGACTCCCAGCAGATCGAGGAGGCGACACAAAGGTCGCCACGGGACCCAAACGAAAGCCACGAGCCCCCCAAGCAGAAGGATGAAGGTGAACAGCAGCAAGGATCCCATGAGCCTGATATCCAGCAGAAGGGTGAAATGCAAAAGCAGCAAGGATCCCAGGAGCCTGATATCCAGCAGAAGGGTGAAATGGAAAAGCAGCACGAACCCCAGGAGCTTGATATCCAGCAGAAGGGTCAAGGTGAAAAGCAGCAAGAATCCCAGAAGCCCGATATCCAGCAGAAGGGTCAGGGTGAAAAGCAGCAAGAATCCCAGAAGCCCGATATCCAGCAGAAGGGTGCACAGCTTCCGCACTTTGACAGCAAGGAAGCGATGATCTCGTTTCTCGTGTCATCGCTGGTGGGTGCTGGTCATTCAGGGGGTGGTTCTGGGACGGGGGAGCCATCCATGGTGGAGCAAGCTCTGAAGCGCCCTGGCACAGTTGACTTTCAGCAGCTTCTTGGAAGTTTGAACAAAGTAGCAGATCCAGGGCAGGAGCCTCCCACGCCGAACCCATCCTTGCCGAGCTTGGAATCTGCCCCGAGCACACCCCTGACCCAGCAGACAGCACAAGTGCCAGCAGCAGCAGCCCCAGCAGTTGCAGCCGTGGCACCCGAGACAAAGCCAGCAGCAGCAGCAGCCCCAGCAGTTGCAGCTGTGGCACCCGAGACAAAGCCAGCAGCAGCAGCCCCAGCAGTTGCGGCACCCCCAGCCCAGGATGTCCCAGATGCTGCTGAGGACATGGGTGACCAACAATTTTGTTTTATTACTATAAGGTTCGATTCGATATGATGGTAGTTTTTTTTATGAAAACTTGGGGTGTTCTGCCAGGACCGCAAGATGAAGAAGAATGCCTACATGCGTTTCTCGAGGAGCTTGACGTCTCCCTACACGCCACCAGCTGTGCTGGAGGCGTATGATCGATGCAAAGATGCCAATGGTGACTCGATTCCCAATACAAATCATCACCACTTGAATTTTGAACTTAAGCCCAGCCTGGCTAAGGCAAAGTGAATCGCCACAGAGTCAACGAGCTGTTCAAGCAGTTCATGGATTGCAACGAGCAATGGGGGGAGTCGGAGTTGGTTCTGACTGCAGAGGCCCGCACCGCGCAAAGGAGCACCGTCCAGAGGCGTTGGATGCTTCGCTCGGACCGGGTTCTATAAACAATTTAGGATATATATATATATATATATATTTAATTATTTTTATTATACCTCTATATATATATATATTATATTAATAAGCTAATATATTAGATATACATATATATATATATAATATTTATTTATTGTTTCATTCGTGAATATATATATATATATTATTTATTTATTTATTTATGCATTTATTTATTTATTCGTTCTTCAATATATATATATATACTAATAATATAATATATGCTAGCTACTCCTAGGCCTTGCACAACAATTACTGCAGGACCTGATGGTGAAGTACAACAATGACGAAAAGGTCGTCAACGAGATCATAAAATCCAAGGCCACTGGGTCGACTTAAGTTTTTTGGTCAGTCACGAGGACACCATATATGTTTTTCTGCTACCGAGGAAGCAAACCCAGCTCACTGCATGGACAATCCCGATGCACCGGGCAACCCGGACCAGCTGGGACCAAAGTAGGTCTATCTATCTATCTATCTATCTATCTATATATATTTGCAATAGCTCTAAATCGTGATCCCGAAATCCTGATCCTAAGACTCTACCGCCCCCACCCCCCTATCGCATAATAACAATATATCCCTGAACCCTGAACCCTAAACCCTAAAGCCTAAACCCTAAACCCTGACCTTGAAGCCTTGATCGCAGGACTACAGGGCCTACCTTTGCTGGGATGTCTCCACGGAGACGGCTGATGATGAGTCTGTGCAAACCGTGACCCAGACCCGTGCAGCAGAGATTGACCAGACCGTGCCCCGAAGCAGTGCACCCTCGACAAGCTTGCCCGCCAACGAGAACAAGCCTAAAAAGGAGAAAAAGGAGAAGACTCTGACACAGCAAGCCCGCTCTGCTCTTCAGTCGCAAACCAGCTTGTACTAGCACTTAAGCATAGCCGTAATGTCCAGATGCAGTTTATGTCTAAGGCGATGAACCTGGCTTCCTCGAACCTTCTGGAAGTTCAGGGCTTCGAGACCAAGCTGAAAGCCAACAATCTGTCCCGCAGCTGCAAATTAGCTTAAGGGTAAAGACTGGCCTCGACCCAGTGTCCACGCCCAGGGATGGTGGCCTGGTGCAAGCATTGGTGCAAAGCATGAACAGCCAGGCTGAGCTCTTGAAGCATGCCCGTGCAAAGTTGGAGGCACCTCTTTTACTGGGCTCAGGTTTATGAGGCTCAGGTTCCTTTCAAGTTATAGTTAGCTGTTCTTTTAGGCGGGCTTGTAGGGATTTCGGGTTTGGGGTTGGGATTCGGATTTTGGTTTAGGGCGATGGGGTCTATAGCCTGTAGGGTTGAGGTAGGGTTTTGCGTAATTAGCATTAAGCTGAATGTGCTGGGCTTGTTTGTGAACAGGCGGCCATTGCACATCAGGACAGCGATGATGACATCAAGCAGTTGCTGTACTGCATGAATCATGCGAATGATAATTACAAAACTGCTTCAAAACACGTCCGAGTACATGCGCAGCCACCGAAGCCAAAGGCCAAGGCTAAGAATGCTCCGAAAAGTGCCCCCTCCGCCAAAGGTGGTAAGTAGGGCAAGCGCAGATCTCCAGAGGAGAGGACTAGGTTAGGTCGGCACCGATGTCGATCGAATTTTGCAGTGATGCCGTATGTCGGACAAGCTTGCACGTGCTAGATCACCGGAGTGCCTAGGGGTAGCACCTCCAAGTCATTCTTCTTGCAGCTACTATGCATGTTAATCCTTGCACCCGTAGCACACAACCTTACACTACAGGGTGATGACGAGGTGTGAAAGCAGCACTCGTAGCCTGATCTGTGAACATGTGCCAATCCTTACCACGGCTCACTTTCAAAGCTGTGCAGCAGAAGAAAAACCCGGCTCGATTCAATATATGTATCCGTGAACAGGTTTTCGATCCTTAACCACAGCTGTCTTGTCGCTGAGGTCAATGCCACGAAATTCGGAGATGAAGATCTTCGTCAAACGCCTGAGATGGGTGGTACGTAGATTCTATTAGTCCTCAGTCCCAAAGCCTTAATCCTGAGCTAGGTATATAACCACCGTGCTGAGTATCTCCGGATCGTAGCTAGAACCTGAGCCTAAACCCTGCTGTTGAAAGTCCCTAAAACCCAATCCCCTAAAACACCTAACATCTCCCTGGCACCCTACACCCGAATCCTAAAACCTGAAACCCTATAGTGTCTCCTACCTAGAAACCGAAGAATCCCAGACCTATGTAAAGTCCCAGTACTCACTGTTTAAATATTTCCCTAAAACCCAGACCCCTAAAACATACACCTATCCTATATCTCCCTGGCGCCTACACCCCAATCCTAAAGCCTTAAACCCTATAGTGTCTCCTACCTAGAAACCGAAGAATCCCAGACCTATGCAAAGTCCCAGTATTTTCGCTGTTTAAATTCCCTAAAACCCAAACCCCTAAAACACCTATCCTATATCTCCCTGGCACCCTACACCCGAATCCTAAAACCTTCAACCCTATATTGCAATTGTCTCCTACCTAGCCGAAGAATCCCAGACCTATATATATATATATGTAAAGTCCCAGTACACTGCAGTTATATTCCCTAAACCCCAAACCCCCAAAACACCTATCCTATATCTCCCTGGAACCCTACACCCGAATCCTAAAACCTTAAACCCTAGTGTCTCCTACCTAGAAACCGAAGAATCCCAGACCTATGCATAGTCCCAGTATTTTCACTGTTTATATATTTCCTTAAAACCCAAACCCCTAAAACACCTATCCTATATATCTCGACACCCTACACCCCAATCCTAAAGCCTTAAACCCTAGTGTCTCCTACTTAGAAACCGAAGAATCCCAGACCTATGCAAAGTCCCAGTATTTTCACTGTTTATATATTTCCTTAAAACCCATGCAAACCCCTAAAACACCTATCCTATATCTCCCTGGCACCCTACACACCAATCCTACAGCCTTAAACCCTAGCTAGTGTCTCCTACCTAGAAACCGAAGAATCCCAGACCTATTTCCACTCGTAGCTTTCTATGAGTGGTGCTGCTAGCTTAGAGCAGCTCAGCTGCACATTGCAATTGCCGAGATTTCTGTGGGGTGGCCTACATGCAGAAAAGGGTCCTGAAGCCCGTAAGTCGAACCCTCGAGCGATTAATGCAAAACCCAAGCAATGTAAAGAATGATGTGCCATCGTCCTCAATGATGCAATCGAGCCCCGGATCCCGGAACCTCAAACGAGCAAACCAATCTTCATCCCAAACCTCAGACTCCAGGCCATGAGGTTCAAGCGCCAAACAGTTTTGTGTTTAGGGCTGAGGGTTTCAAACCTGAACTTGGATGCATGACCATAGCACCAACGAGCTTCCCTTACTAACATGTTGGCCTGTTCCACATATATTCTTAAAAAACTACATATATTATCCCCCTAGTTATAATTTCAACTCTTTAGGCCCCCTAGTTAACTATAACTCTTTAGCCTGCTAGGCCGCAACCCGGTTTAGGGTTTGGGGGTTTAGGGGTTTAGGGTTTAGGGATCGTTGTACATTCGAATTCTATGGCCCTGACTATTTTCTAAGAAGAACCTAAATGCTTATCCCGAACTGGTAAGCTGCAGCTGGCCACTCGGTCATCACCAAACATAGAACCACCGCCGCCTGCACGCAGACGACAGCACCGCGTTTGCTGATTATCTCTTGGCCTCACTGGGCACGGGTGTCTTTCTGCTGCATTATACTCGTACTAGTACCTGAACTGTACGATTTATTCAACAGCTTTAGTACGACAGCTGCAACCAAATCTATCTAGTTACGACTATGTACAGATAGTGTGTATTCATAGACCGACATAGACCAGACTATTGGGTTGGGGGGGAAGCTTCCAACACTGCTGCTGCTAATTGTGCACTCTATCTGAGGCTACTTCTACGGCTGAACTCCAGAAAGCGGCGGCCGCCATGGTCAAAGAATCCAAGAATAACTGCTCCGACATGACCCGTATGTTTGCACGGGCCGGATGCTCTGGGCGGTATCCTGGAAATGTCGTTTCTTGGCTTCAGTCGTACATCCTCTGGTCTATGATGGTTTAGCAAATCACAGCTGAGGAACGGGATATCATGAGGGGGTTGGAACTCCCTGTGGATTCTTGACTTATCTTTAATTTTTACAGTGCCGATTTCGTTGGCATGCCAGTTGAAGCTGAAACCCAGGATGTGCATTATGTCCAGATCCCTGTCCTGGCGGCGGCTAACCGACGAGATCGTACCTTGATGAATCTGCCGATTCTTTATCCACATGAACTGATCCATTATCTTCATGAGCCTTAGCTTGCAAATATTGAGTGTGGGACTGCACGTGCACATATGTTGCTGCATTGCCGTCATGTAAGGAATCCGGGAAGGTCAGGATCTCCCAGCAGGCTATCGACGAGTATTGGGCTCATCTGGGTCTGTCAGTTTTTTGGGGGGTT